GTCTAGAATCTCTGTAGTCGATCACATATATAAGTACATGTACATGTGAAAGTTCTTTATGACATTGTAGTATTTTTAATATGTGTTCATGGTGTTGCTATACGACTATAGTAAAATTACATTGCCAGTGTGGCATAATAGTGAGATTCACAAAACGTATAATAATGCTTAAATTTGTACTTTTGCCTTGCTTAACCGAACATTCTTTTTTCTTTTAGAATAATAATTTACTGTATTGTGTTTGCTGCATATCGTACGTTCGTCTAATGTTGTGCATCTCCTCATCTAAGTAAGCAGAAATGACTTTTCTACAATGCAGGAACCACGTGAGTAGCAGGCAATGCAGTGCCTGCCATCTAATGGACCACACAGCAGCATCTAGTGGACACCACGTTGCCACGTAGTGGACGAAACAGCGCAGAATAGCCGACAACAAATATCGAGCCGCGTCGAGTAACCCACACCTGATTTGGAGTCGACGCCACTGAGCCGTCTACCGGTTAGTGATCAATGGGAATCGGTTGGAACTTCATCATCGATCATCGGTTGCACCCAACCGATCGATGATCGATGATAATTGGTTGAATGTTATTGATCGTGGCTACCAGATATTGAAATATATCATATATCATATAATGCAGTATTTTTTATAATACAATATTTTAAAAGCTATGTATCAGTAGTTTGCTTATGTTTGGTGTAGGTTAGAATATAAAATAAAGAGTCATTTCATCAGTGTTTACAAATTTGTTTTTAAATTCCCCCAAAAAAATTGTTAATTAAAAAATTTATTTCATCTCTTAATCGATTATTTATTCTCACAATCGATCGCTTAGTCAGTTAGACTGACTTTCAATTATAATCGATCATCGGGCCATATCACTTCTAGCCGTCACCATGTACTCCGAGTGGTCGGCGTTGGAGGAGGTGATCGGCGAGAACATGGGGCAGTGCAGCGTGCTGCAGAACTTCCCGTCCGTGATCGGCCGCGACGTGTCGTGCAGCGTCGTCAAGTCCCTCGCCCGCCACCTGAGCATCAACGCTGCCGACTGCCAGGCCAGCACGCTCGTCACTGACAAGCAGGTGCTGTGGACGATGGAGGTATAAGGAGCGAGTAATTAAGCAAGCAGGAATAAAAGTGGGAGAAGGGAGGGGAGAGAGGAGAAGGAAGAAGAACAGGAGGGAGGAGGAGGGAAGAAGGAGAAGGGAGGGGAGAAAGGAGGTGTAGGGGGTTGAGCGGGAGCAGGAGGAAGGGGAGCGAGTAATTAAGCAAGCAGGGGAAGAGAGGAGATGTAGGAGGATGAGCAGGAGGAAGAAAGGGAGGAGCAGAAGGAAGGTGAGAGAGGAGAAGGAAAAAGAGCAGGAGGGACAGAGGGAGGAGGAAGGGAATCGGGTAATTAAGCAACCAGGGGAAAGAGGAGATGTAGGAGGATGAGCGGGAGGAGGGAAAGGAGGAGCAGAAGGAAGGTGAGAGAGGAGAAGAAAGAAGAACAGAAGGGACAGAGGGAGGAGGAAGGGAATCGAGTAATTGAGCAACCAGGGGAAAGAGGAGATGTAGGAGGATGAGGGAAGGGAGAAGGTGACAAGAGTACGAGGGAGGGAGATGGCGTACCAAATGTAGATGTTGCGGTTTCGAGGTCGGCAGAGGACTACCATATATAGCAAATTACCGTGTCAGTGTCGCTGTCAGTTAGTGACGGGGCAGGTGACAACATTGGGCACGGGTCCTCCGTGGGTCTATGGATCTCAAGTTGGGACTGAGGGGAATAATCTTATTTGTGGAACTGTTTTACGAAAGGCATGTCAGTGTCAGTAAGTGAAGTATAAAAAGTGATCGTGTTTAAGGATTGTCTCAATTAGCATGGTTTCATATCATCAAGAGCTAATAATAGCTATTAATAGGTATTAGCTCTTGATATCATGTAACTGGCCAGTTTGTGAAGGAACTTACCTTACCTCTAGTATTTTGCGACGCTGTGCTGTTTAGTAGTTTGGCTGGCATACGTTAGTAAATGCTACTGCTGCTGCTACTGCTGGGTCGTGATATGGCTCAGGGCATTTGTTGTGTGCGTTTATGACCTGTTATCACAATGACAACCTGCCAGTCTACCTGACACCACTGACCAACATCTTCTCTTGAGGTATTCACCTCTATTTATAGGGATTCCTTCACTGACAAACGTGAATTTTGTTCTTTGGAACTTGGTACTAATCTGGTTTGAAAAATTCGGTATGCTTAATTCATATATCCAATTCGGGTTGGTGCATATTAAAGTAAATAAGGACGTGTCACTCCTAACTATTGGTGATTGTGGTTTGGATGTAGGGATGCATTACCGATCTTCCTTACTCTCGCGCAAGTTTTGTTAGCTGGTTCTTTTGTAAATTAGACAGAAGTTGGATGCAAATCTCTCCATTTTCTACCTCTGTGCTCACTCAGGCTTTGTTTATGTTAGGCAATTTTCTTGTAAATTACACGTAATTTCTTCTTGGTTCCTATACTGAAATCGCTCACGCAACTACCTACACACGTGCACACGTGCACTGTATTTGTAGAAATACATCGATCTACTTAAAACGTAATATTAAAATATTAAGGTGAGTAATGGAGTGTTGCCGAGTATCCCCATGTTCGTATGTTCGTAACTTGCCATCGATGTCCATCTACCCGTGATGCAGGTGTTATTAGGATTTCTGTCGCAACTCATAAATGTTTCAGTTTAAACCAGCTATCAACACATCGTACAATTTCCGCCACAGTTTTCGGCATAGTAAACTAGAGTGTAGGTCACCCCACGACACAGCCGTCGTAGATTTACGTGGCATTCTTCTCAACTTATCGAGTACCTTCAGTCTTAAAGGACGCGCAATGCTGGGAAGGCAATTCGGTTATGATACAAGCTAGCGATTGATGCAGCACGCGGGAAAGAAATTGCGCGAAACTCTTCATTTGTGATGGGAAAGGATTGAATTCAATCATTCTCACACCGTTTCTCTCCCCATGCAGGTGTGTTGCTTAGTGTCACTGTGTTCGTATGGAAATGTGGACATGTATTGCTGTGAAGGCAATTCGTTTATGATCCTGTTCGTATATGCTGGCTGTTCAATGGCTAGCAGTGTGATTGTGTTGGGGAGGAAGGGTTGGTTAAGGTGAACACGTACACACAGACGATCATATCCAAGGTAGCGATTTATGCAGCACGTGGGAAAGAAATTGCGCGAAACTCTTCATTTGTGATGGGAAAAAGACCCCAAAAAATTGCTCACTTACGATGGAAAATTGATTTTAAATTGATTCATTGGTTGATTGATTGATTTTAAATTGAGTGATTAATTGATTGATTTTAAATTGATTGATTGATTTTAAATTGATTGATTAATTGATTTTAAATTGATTGATTAATTGATTTTAAATTGATTGAGTTTAATCGCGCTCGCGCCGCCGCCTCTCTCCTCCCCCCCCTGCGTGCAGGTGCTGTGGCACGGACTCAGCCTCCAGATGGCCGAATACGAGACGATTAACGACTGCGTGAACGTCTACTGCGAGTGGCTGACGGCGATGACGACGCCGCGCAACAGCGTGCCGATCCCCGTGCTCGAGGATCCGAACGCCTACACGCAGACGATCATACGCCACTTCTACAGCCTGTTCGTGCCCCGCGACGCTTCAGGTACGCACAACGAACAACAACGAACAACAATGGGGAGGCTGTTTAATGGCTAGCAGTGTGATTGTGTTGGCTTAAGTGGGGAGGAAGGGTTGGTTAAGGTGAACGCGTACACGCAGACGATCATACGCCACTTCTACAGCCTGTTCGTGCCCCGCGACGCTTCAGGTACGCACAACAAACAACAACGAACAACAACGTGGAGGCTGTTCAATGTTGCTACCTAGTACCAGTGTGATTGGGTCGGCGTAGGGGGGAGGAAGGGTTGGTTAAGGTGAACACGTACACACAGACGATCATACGCCACTTCTACAGCCTGTTCGTGCCCCGCGGCGCTGGAGGTACGCGCAACGAACAACAATGCACGAACAACAATGAACAACAACGA